GGATTAATTGGTAATTTGCATTTAACATAATTGACTGCTGCATCATGAGAAAATCCATATTAATGTAGAGATTTACTAAAACTTAGTTTGAATAATAAATTTCATGATCTTCAAGTTATAAACATATACATGTATGTATATCTCTTGGTAAATTTTTTATAGCATACCTTTTATTGAGCCAAAGTTTTAAGCCTCTAAAATTACTCCTTTTTTTTAAACCTTCACGTTCAAGGTATTGAGAACTTCTTGGGATTTATGTGGACCTCAGGGTATTTAAATTGCCTCAATTTCAATTCCCAGAAATTCCCAAGAATTCCACCCTTCTTAAATTATAGGTAGTTTTTATAGCTGAGAATTCATAGGAATTCCAAGTCCTCACAAAACTGGACTTTTCCTTTCCCAGAAATTCCCAGTAATTCCAAGCTTTTCAAATCAGAGCTTATTTGCATAGTTGGGGATTTTTAAGAATTGCTAAGAATTCCCAGAAAACTGGGAATTCAGTTTGCAAGGGTTATTTGCATAATTGGGAATTTTTGAGAATTCCTAGGAATTCCCAGAAAACTGGGAATTCAGTTTGCAAGGGTGCCAATGTACTTCAGTTTGTGAACTATTGCAGGTTGTGAATTTTGATGGTTTGACATTTTTGACAGCTTCAGTTTTTTTAACTAATCAGATTATTTGAACCATTATAACAAAGATTCTGATTGGCGTATTGAAGCATGCTTTATGAGAGTATAGAGCATGCTGGTGATACTGTTGTTCACTTTGAAAACAAAATTTCTTCGGAAAACTAGAGGTGAACTGTTAGGAATTAAACAGACTCTTTATAATAAGAGAAGTGGGGAGAAACATTTGACTATGTCTGATGTTTTTCCCTACACTACTTTCCTTCTCTAACTGCTTCCTGTGTACTTCACAAGAGAAGAAAGCACAGGCTTCTCTATTTGTTAAATAAGCCCTCCTAACTTTCCTCCCCCTTCCCTCTTTTCCTTCCCCATGCCCTCTAAGTTTCTAAGCCCAGGGCTTGTAAGTAGCAGTTTGTGGTTATACTAATTGTTTTTTAGTTTTAATCGGTGCAGCAATATCTATTTACAAATATGTTGATTTTAAAATTTCTAAGCAACTGAGTTTATACAGTAGGTCACTTGAAACAGTCCATAATGTGATTTATCCAAGGTCACTCCATCTTGTGTTATTTTATGCCATTCTACCATATTAGTGACAATAAGGACCTTAGTACACTGTAGAGCAGGGCTGAAATACAAACGGAGGGTGGAAAGACAAGATCAAAACTTTGATTTCTATTCTGTATTTCGGGCTTGACTTTTTAAGCCATCCCAGAGAACACTTTGATGGCTTCATTATTGTTGTTTTCATCTTTTGTGCACGTTTTCTGTTATTATCTGGAAAAGCCAAAGAATGTAACATATAATACCAGCAGAAATTTGCTTGTTGCTTGTAATTGTATTGTACTGTATTGTGCTTAGTAAGAGTATGGAGCATGCTGACAACACTCTTGTTTGCTTTGAAGATAACATTTGTTTGGAAAATTGGAAGTAAAGTGTTGGGAATTTGACAGATTCTGTATTTGTATTATAATCAGAGAAGTGGAGAGAAACATTTGACTACATCTTGCATCACTTCTTTCATGCTGCAGCTGCTTCCTGCATACTTTACAACAGAATAGAGCACAGTCAAGGCTTCTCTATTTGTTAAATAAGCCCCCCTAACCACCACCCTCCCCCACCACACCTTCAAAGTTTCTAAGCTCAGGGCTTATAAGCAGCAGTTTGTGGTAATACTTTTCATACTAAAGGTGCATGTTTGAAAAGTGAGAATGAACAAACAAGAGCACAAATCTGAATAATGGAATGCAGCCACTGGATATGTTTGAAAGAAGTCAAATTTTACTGCATATACAGTTAAAGTTTAGAACAAGCTAGTCCACCTATAAGGCCAGCAAGTAAATCTAAGCTGAATAATGCAGCTTTCAGCAAACTAGTCTGTTGGAAGGCAAAGAAATTTATGCAATGTTTGGCACCAGGGTAGCATGAAATTTCCCAGTCAGTCTGAGACTTTCTTTAAGGAAAAAGCCAACAAGATATATTTTTGTTTACAGTTAATGTTGCAAATTGAATTCTATTTGACAGCTTTCTTATTTTGATGTTGTTTTTTCCCTCCAATCACAGGTATGCATGCATGCATGAGTATTATCACTAAATTCTCAAAAAGAAAACATGTTAAACTATGGAGGGGGAAAATACTGAAAGGAGTTCTTGTTCATCTGCATGGCCTAATTAATTCATAGAGGCTTGAGAATGTAAGGTCACATAGGCATTAACATTGTGATAGTTATTGGTTTTTTATTATTTTTTACAACATAAATGTCTGTTACCTTTAGGTTTTCCTGGAGAAACCACCAAGAATCTTACCTATGGCAACCACTATGCAAAAGGCTTAAAATAGAAAATGATGTTAAATATGAAAGACTTAAACTTTA